TCCCTGCAAAGGACATGATCTCATTCCTTTTTATGGCTGCATAGTATTCTATGGAGTATATATACCACATCTTTATGCAGTCTATCACTGGTGGGCATTTAGGTTGATTCCATGTCTTTGCTATATAGGATTATATACCCAAAGCAATGAGATTTGGGCATTTAATGGGATTTCTGGGTCAAATGGTATTTCTGGTTCTAGGCCTTTGCGGAATTGTCACACTGACTTCCACAATGGTTGAACTAATTTACATTCCCACCTACAGTATAAAAAATGCTTCATTTTCTTTTGATCTTTAGTGTTTATATCTGAATAGTCAAAGAAGAGTCTTAAGATTTTCTAAGAATTCTATAAATGTTCCGATACATTGCTGGGACCATAGCAATGGTGGTTACACAGTTGTCAAACGCTGGGGGTACATGTCAATGTCAGGGATGCCTTAAATGTACTTTCAATCAGTCATTCCATAAACATTTATTGATCACCCAGAAGGCATCAGACATTCATTTTATTAAGTACTTTGATAGTCTTAACTTCCTAATTTAAAATTATTCCCAATCCACCCCACCCTTTGCTATCTCCATATTTTTCTCCATAGCACTCATTTCCTCTAGCCCAGTAGATACATTGCTTTCTTAAATTTCTTCACTGCCTGCTTCCCCTTACTAAAATATAAGTTCCACAAAGACAAAGATATGTCTTTTGTTGCTCTATCCCTAGTGCTTAGAACATTGCCCTACATTTAGTGCTCAATAAAGATCCCTTGAATGAATAAATGTCACCATGGGCTTTATAACCTTCAGTGAGAGTTGAGATTACCATTATTTTATAATTGTAATTGATGCTGGGAGAAGGTGGGGAGTTTACTCATTGAGCCAGCTAGTAACAGATATACCTAGGATCCAAGCCCAGGTGGGTGTGACTTCTGGCCTGTCTGTCTTCTCCTTTGTTCATCTGCTTCTCCTACCATTCCCACTTTTTCTGCACATGAACCTAAGCAGTCTAGGTGTCTCTGTTGGGACCTACTGATCTGAGAAACCGTCTAAGGTTGAATGCTGCTGGGCCACCCCACTGCATGGCTGAGGAGCTCAGTGATAACAGAGGGTTGGGGCTGGGAAAGCAGAGAAGGGCGTAGAAGGGAAGGAGAGTGGCCAAGTAAATACCCCCAAATAATCAGACATTCTCTAAGACAGGTGGAGATACATATTTGCAGAAACCTTTTAAGTGTTTCTTCACCCCACAGAGGATTTTTTACGAGGTTTTAAAATCTGTTCCCCTTCTTTTCCCTTTTTTTTTCTTTTGCATACCATTACTCATGGTTATACAAACTCTTCTACTAAATGAGTGGAAATGTTTGACTCGGTTCTCTGGTTTGCTCTTGTGCAATCTGTTTCTGGTAAGCAGTAATTTTTGTAGTCTGTTATGTGCCTGTTTACAGAACAATCATCTATTGTTTCAAAAAAGTATAAAAGGCTAAAGAAGAGACTGGTAAGGCATGTCCAGTGAATTCTCTGAAATGTCTACTGCAGATCAGCAGCTAGGGAACAGGGTTGGACCTAGAAAAGAGGTAGGAAGGTGCCTCTTCTGGCTCTGGGACACGCTGTAACTCAAGATGAATGAGAGTGATGCCATCTTGGTCTGATGTAATTGGGGAATAAGATACTCCATAGGAGGGAAAATGGTAAATAACCGCAATTTATCTTCATCACAATGTTGTGTTATTTTAGCATCAAAAAATTCAATTCGCCTTCACTTGATTTAAAGTCTCAACTTTTGGGGGGCAGAATATTCGGAGCATTTTCATTTTGATGTGTGTGTGTGTGTGTGTGTGTGTGTGTGTGTGTGTGTGTGTGTCTGTGTTTTGAAGAAACAGTTGGAAAGTAGGTGCAGGCACTTCGAAAATCAGGTTCGGAGGCCCCCACCCTGACAACAATAGTGAAAAGTTTATTTTTGCTTAGTGAGCATCTAAGTATGTATGTTTTGTGTGTGTTGTTTGCTTTTGCACCAAATAACCTCAAACTACTTGTTGGCTTGTTGAATCACTCTCCTGGCATCTCTCTTGCTAAGAGAAGAGCTGTCTCTTATTGTTTGGACATTCCCAGGGACCTTACCTTGAACATGAAGACTCTCCATCTTCACGCCTCTCCTGTTCCCTTACTCCTGATTTTGGTTTACTATTTCTACTCTTCTATAAGCTAGTTAAGAACGGACTAACTTTCTAAACTTTAGATTTACATTAATATCTTTTAAAAGATTTAAGTATGATACTATGGTGTATTTAGACAGTAACAAAATTGATTCTATCTGCTGTACTTGAAAATCAGTCATATATACACTCACTTCCTATGTTGGACTTTTTAGTGGTGACTTCTTACCTACTTTCTTGTTCCTGGAAATTGTCTGGATAATTGTGATCATTTCTTGTCATGTTTTATTTCTCTACATGTATAAGAGTTAAAATTTTTGTACTATTTCTTTCCTTTCAAAATCAAAGCCTATTTTAAATGTATATTTTACTTAGAATAGTTTACATATAAATTTTTATTAATACTTTCTATGGGGTGACAGTGTGTTTTGAAATTATATTAGCTTTATATTATATCATTTATTTGACTAACATAGAAGAAAATTCAGCCTGAATTACTAAAAAGCCAAAATCTTGAGTCAGTTGAAGCTATAATATTTTATTCCTCCACATCCTTGAGATAGGTAAGAACCATAGTTTTAGCACTGCTATCATAATTTTATGCGATGATGTTATTATACTGAGTAATATTTGGTAGCCAAGAGAGCATGGCCTTGGTTTGGAACTTCCATCAATGAGTACACAAGAATGATTTTAATTAGCATATAATTATATGGAATCATATATATGTAGAATCTATATATAGATCTACTTGCTGACTCGCCCATCCATACATCTCCACATCCCATCAGTCCTCAACAGAAAGAGGATAGCAGACATTCCAAAAGGGACTGGAAAACTATCTAGAGCAAGCTGCATCTTTTATTTACAACTGAGGAAGCAGAATTAGGGAGCCAATCAGAGGATCTTGTTCCTTTGCCCAAAAAACAAAATTGGGACACTAGCGATGACTGTTAAATAGCACCAGAGGTTGCTTTGTAATTCAGATCCTTCCTCCCTCCAACCCTGGGGATCTTTAGGGACCAGAGGATTTGAGATTAGGTAGTAATGTGGATTCCTTCGGCCCCCGAAGTCTATGATCTCAAAATTCCTCATCCCCCTCCCATAACCTCAGAGAAACTTGTGAGACACATTAAAGACATGTTCCCCCCAGAAAATAGCCTCCATATGAGGAATCCTGGCAAATGAATTTTACTAGATGTTCTCAGGGCAGTGCCAGGATTCATTTGCTGTGTTTTCTCTCAGGGCTATTCAGCACATCTTTTCAGGGTGATACCAATTAAGATGACATGCTCAGAAAAATGTATTTACCAGCACGGGACACTCAGTTACTATTCTCTTTCAGGGGAGTGAAGATGTAAATGATCAATTAAAAGGCATCCCAACCCAGCTGGTTTGTTGAAGCTCCTTGTCTTGGCTCCTCCTTTTTTGGTTCTTACATTCACCTTCTTCTCTAGTCTCATCACACATCACATGGTAAAAAAGCAAAAAGAACATGAGATTTTTGTCCCATGTTTTACTGCTACAATACAAACATAGAAGCTCTGCCTTATTAAATATTCTGGTTCAGAATGTTTCCAATCACTTTATAAACTTGACTGGTTCATCTTCCCTTTTTATCATTTATGGCCCTCCACAAAAGCCCAGCAAAGTTAAAGTGATTTGTTCCTGTGAAATAAGCAATGTAAGCAGATGGTGACCTATACGTGTTAGTGCAAAACAAAGCCTGTCTTTCTACACAGTGTAAGGAACAGCTGATTGAAAGTTTTCAGCTTACTGGGACTTTTTAAGGGAACTAAACAATACTTTGCTAGGCAGTTTTCCCCCTAAGTTATTTTGCTGCTTCATTCTACTGCACTGACAGACTCCCTGCTTCTTTCTCCACTATACTCGTCCCAGTCCCCTACTGAACTGGCACTGGAAGGATCATTTTGATATTTGACAGACATTGTCAAACTTGAACATAGTTCTCACAGTTACATCTTGCCTTCAGTGTTAGAGCGCATAAACTGTCATTTTAAATGTAGTAAGTTGGGTCTTTCCAATTTTCCTTTACCGTTGGAAGATCAATGTACAGTCATCCATTTCACATCCCAAGTTTCTTGACAGCATCACCTTATTTAAACATCGGTATGTTCCTCCTCAGAAACCATGGATAGTCTTACTGTGATTGGCGCATGTGACTCCTACACCATGTTCCTATTGCACCCTCAGGAATACTCTGCCAAGCACAGAGCCCACGCAGATCTTTTGGGTTCTGGGTTTCAAGCCACACTTGACCTTTGAGGTTTAAGTTAATTCATCCTTGGCAAAAGAAAATGCATTGTTTAAAGAGAATAGGATTAGAGAGGCTCATAGTAAAGACTTGTAACAACACTTCTTGGACCTCAGATATATCTTACAAAACAAAATGTTTATGAGCTAAGTGTAAATGATTCAGCAACATACGGATCAAATTTCCCCTCAAATGCAAATGGATTTTGAAAATTAGCAGAAAAAGGGTTTGGCAAAAGATGTGCTTTGAATTTCACCAAACAGTGTATTTGAAATGCAACTTAGGAATCTTGACAAACCCAAACTGAGTAGGTTTTCCCTTTATTGTTCTTGTTTATTCCCACTGTATCTCTGTTGAAAATTCAGTGGTTAAATGAGAAACGGCAGCGGGGAGAAATGAGAAATGGCAGTGGGGAGGGAGAGGTTAGAAAAAAATCCAGAAGGATTTTTTTTTTTTTTTTTTAAAGGGCTTGTTGTCACGCTCTTGTATAGCCAGAATGGGAGGTGAGAATTTGGCTTTGGAGAGTTTCTTTGTTCCTGCTGTTTTATGTCCCTCATGTTTCCTTTTATAATTGTTCAGGTTTGCACCTTCTGTTCCATCTCCTCACCACATCAGCCCCCGGAGAGTTCCAGCTCCTCCTTCAATACTGCAAAGAACACAGCCTCCCCATACCCAGCAGCCATCAGGTTCGCACCTGAAGTCCTATCAGCCAGAAACAAACTCTTCTTTTCAACCAAATGGTATCCATGTCCATGGTAAGCAAGGAGCTGGTAGTCCCTTGAGTTTTGAAAAATGACATTATGCTGTTGCTTTTAATCTTAATTACCTGTTGTGGATTTCAGATGTTCTGTTCTACACCAGGCTTAGGCTTTTATAACTTGCCTCTGAAATTTCACACTTGATAGGCGTGAAATCCTATGGTATTTTCCTGACTTCGGCTTGATGATGGTATGATTTACGACACCTCACACTAGTCAGCTCAAGTTGATAGTGTTGTCATTGGCCAGGGCTCTAACAGCAGGAATAGCATCCTGTTTCTAAACAATAGCCTGTGGAGAAAGAAATGACAGGAGTTCTTGTGCCCAAGCATGCCTCTGCTCTGCTAGGTTTTTGCTCTCATTCTCATATGTCCTCATGCTCTCCATCCTTCAAGGTGCGGGTAGAATAACACCTCTCTGAAGCCTTTCCTGATACCCCAGCTGATGCAATCTCTCCAGCCCTAACCTCTGCTTTTATCAGCTATCTTTCTCTAATAGTAATTATGCTTCCTCTATCTTGTGATTTACTTATCTGTGAATAAACATAGCTTCACTATTAATGTGTAAACTTTCTGAGCATTTTCTGACCCATCAGAAAATTGTATCTTTTAGGGAACTTAACACAGCTCTTCACAAATGCCAAAGACACAAGGATACTTGTCAGGTGAATGGAGGATGAAAAGGAGAGAAGGAAAGCAAGAGAAATCATAATTTTCTAAATATGCAGATCTTGTGTGTAATGGGAAATATGCATAGAAAACTAAGTCTAGCTTAATTTCTTTTCTTTAAACTCATTTTGCCTATCTTAGTGAACAGCCACAGAAAGTTGAATAGCAAAATCATAGATTTAAACTGTCACAGCCTTGTACTTCCTAGGGCAGTTAGATCTGTATAAGTGGAAGCGATACTGTATTTTTAGGCTGAGTGTTTCAACTTCTGAAACATATGACTCTCCTCTATCTGCCTCTTGCTGATGCCTGAATTTTCTCCATATGAGTTATTACTTGAAACTGATGGGTGGTGTTCCCAAACAAATCTAAAACAATATGCAAACTGAGTGTGAATAATTTTCCAAAGTGGCAGAATCGTCCAGTACTATGGAGCTAGGCTTGGATAAGAACGTCAAAATAAAGGACTGAACAGCAAAGAGGGGGTGATATAAAAACAGCCAGCTGTAGGAAGGAAGAGACCTTGAAGGACCAGAGCTATTGGTTCTGGCTCAGTTCATGCATCTCATCTCCCCACTTCCCCATTGTAGCCACACAAACCCCCTGTTCCCCAGCAAAACTTGGACTTGTACCATTCTGTAGGCCTATGGTCTTTTTTACCTTCTGATTATAAATTCTTTCTCAAGCTTCAGTTATGTATTTATTCAACTAAGAAATACTTCTTGAGTGCCTACTCTGCGTAAGGCAAGGCTTTAAGACATGCATAAGACGGGCAAATTGAGCCCTATTACTTCTGAGGAGGGCCTGTCAGTCCAGTTGAGGAGTTTGTGTACTCTGAAAGAGACCCAGGTCCCCTCTGCCATGAAGCCATCCTCACCACTCCAGGCAAGAGGTGCACAGCCTGAGTGTGGGCTATGTGAAATGTAGAGTAGACCATTGATTTGAAGACACAAATTTTTCACCTTCACATTTTAACATTGCTGAAATCTGGACAGAACTCAGTCAGTGGCGGCATATAATTGACAGTGATTTTTCTTTCTAGTGCTATTTAGAATAATGGAGCATTTCACAGCTGATGGTGTCAAAGTTCCAAGGAAATGCAGTATAACACATTTTGATTACAACTGTGAAACATTTTTAAAAATTTAAAAATTGACCTATGTGTAGAAAAAAAATGGGAAGGAAGTTCTCAAATATTGATGGTTTTACATCAGGATGGTAGGATAATGGGTGATTTCTTCCTTTTTTCTCTGAAATCTTTAGAAAGCGTTTTGGAATTAGACCCATATGAATGCAAACACTAGTCCACCCTGAGCTGTGTGACTCTGGGTAAATTATGGAGTCTCAGTTCACATTCGTTAAGTGGGGAGCGTTTCATCTGTCTTCTCTCATCAGTTAAGAAGTTTGACAGGAAAAGCACCTGGCACAGAGTAGGAGCTTAATTTAATGCTCTTTCTTCTATTTCCTTCTATTTTTATTTTAATTACTCTTTGAGAATAGGGATAATGTTTGCAGCCCTAGGGCAGGCATAATACTTGGTGTAAAGTAGGCATTTAGTATATATTTACTGACTAAGTGATTGACACTGTCTCATTGAACAAATGAATAATGGACAAGATAGAGAAAATGGGATCTACCCTATTATTTTCCCCTACCTCTTGGCAAAATAGTTTTCTTCCACATTTCTCTTTTTTAGTTAAATAATGAATATACTGTCAACTGGAAATTGTTGGAATTTTTTTAAACGTTTACATTAAAAACAATTTATTTTTTAGAGACAGGGTCTTACTCTATCCCAAAGCATAGAGTGCAGTGGTGAAGTCATAGCTTACTGCAGCCTCAAACTCTTGGGCTCAAAGAGTTCTCCTGTTTTAGCCTCCCAAACAGCTGGGACTGCAGGCTCACACCACTATACCTGGCTAATTTTGTTTATTGTTTTTGTAGAAATGAGGTCTCACTATTTTGCCCAGGCTGGTCTTGAATTCCTGAGCTCAAACGATTCTTCTGCCTCAGCCTTTCAAAGTGTGGGGTTAAGGTGCTGAGGAATCACCTGTGCTGAGCCCTAACTTTCACATTCTAATTGTCAAAAAATTCCCCATGAGAAACTGCTAATATCAGCCCTAAAAATAAACTTAAAATATAGTTAGGCTAATTGAGAAATCATGACTTTCTCCAGGAAGATGGGCAAGTGACTGCTGCAATGAGGTTGCAAAGGGAGTGCCCCTATCTTAGCCACTGGTCCACTGCTTGTGGTTAATTGGTAGGTATCCAGATGTAGCCTTACTTCCTTCTCCAAGCACTTTCTGAAAATTTTTTTTGAAACTTCCTAGGCAACATTTCTAAAAATTCTCATCAACTACTCTATAGGTTAAGGATAAACTTTATTTTTCAAGTGGGCAGTGCGATGCTAAGAGTAAGAGAAGACCTTCTTAATGAGTCACATTTATTGACAGCTTTTGTTGGACAAGTTTGCCGGCTGGAGTTACACAGCATCCTGGTGATAGGGAACTTTACCCCCTAATAAAACTTGATTTTTAAAGCCCAAAGCAGTGTCAGGGTTACTAATGTGATAGCTCAAGTGAGTGTTTGTTCTCTTTCAAAAAGTTCATGGTTTTAATCAGTGTGGTCACCCCATTTCTTCTGTACTCCCTGTAATAGGTAGAAGTCAGGGAGAAATGCCATCACTGTATTTTTAGAGACAAGAATATAAAATGTCTAGGCATTGCTACCTTAGCAAACTATGCAGGTGCCTTTTTCAAGAGGTCTAAATTTCTAAGCCATATATTTTTTTATTTTTTTGTGTGTGAGATGGAGTCTCACTCTGTTGTCCAGGCTGGAGTGCAGTGGCGTGATCCCAGCTCACTGCAACCTCCACCTCCCTAGTTCAAGCAATTCTCCTGCCTCAGACTCCTGAATAGCTGGGATTACAGGTGCATGCTCCCAGGCCTGGGTAACTTTTTTTTGTATTTTTAGTAGAGATGAGGTTTCACCATGTTGGCTAGACTGGTCTCGAACTCCTGACTTCAAGCAATCCGCCTGCCTCGGCCTCCCAAAGTGCTGGGATTAGAGGCATGAGCCACCAGGCCCAGCCCCGTGCCATATTCTTAACAACATGTTTCTAGGCCAAAAGCACACTAAAATAAACACACATTTATATTTTTTTATGGGGAAATGTAGACTCCTGTATGTAGATGCTGTTGCATTACATAGAGCTATGAAAAGTTACAACACAGGGGCTTTGGTCTTAAAAATGAAGAAGGTAAGGTCCATCGAGTTTTGTTAATCTTGCTATAGTAAATGATACTAAGCCTAGACACTGTGTGCTCTGTCTATATTTTTATTGAGGCATCTTATAAAAGGCATACGTTGAAAGATTACTAGTGCTGCATTTTCAAGTTTCCTCACCTAGTGAGTGATCCAGGACCAGAGCTCAGGTTTGTTGGCTCTGTATCCACCTCATTCATTTTGCCTTCATTAGTACAGGGAATGAGGTATCATTTTCTTTAATGTTTGAATCTTGGTAGCATTTGTGGGTCTCTGTTTGGGTGAGATCTCCAAGGCAACTTCTTAGCACATTTTGGTTCTTTATTTTAGATGTAAACATAAGGACACTCTGCAATCATGTAAGCTTGTTTTTCAGTCTTTTCTTTCTCCTTAGGACAATTCTCTTGCCCAGACAAGCTTCAGAATGTTGCCTGGATTAGTTGCCCAAGAGTTGATATTTGCATGTTTTGTTATTGGACTAATGGATCATTTCCTACTAAATACCCTGTTCACTCCACAATTACTAGCATGCTGTGAGAATTCCTACAGCAGCATTTTCACAACCTTCATGCTTCTGGGCCCATAAGGTGACACTGAGTTAAGTTCAGCAAGTGTTCATTGGTCATCACTATGTCCCAGGCAAACATGAATATCATTTAATCAATGCACTGTGGCACATGCAATAAGAGAAGGTACAAAAGGATTAATTCACAAGATGGTTTCAGAAGGATCTGTAGAGGTGATACTTGAATAGGGTTTTGAAGATAAATACCTTATTGGGCAGGCCACGTGGGAAAAGGCATTCCAGGCAGAGGGGAAGCAAAGACCACAGGTGAGAACAAAAATGTCAGCGTGGGGGGTGTGTGTGTGCGCGCGCGTGTGTGCGTGCACGCACACACACAAAAGGAAGAGCCAAGAGGATGATTGGAGTGCACAGGTTAAGCCATGGCGTAGAGGAGGAAGAGCCTGGAGAATTTACAAGGCCAGCTCACAAAGGGTTTTGTGCCATGCTAAATGTAACTACAGAATAAAACATCAGCCTAACATTTTAGGAAAGTCAAGTGG